ACCCTTCCAAGCATGATGTTCTTCTCTAAGGACCAGTCCATCTTGGCCATGTGCCCAGGTATGTGAGATGGAACTTCAAAATCTTTGCCTCCAAGGAGCAGTGTGGTTTCACCCTCTCCAGGACAGATCTGTTTGTTCTCTTGGCAATCTAGAGCATGTTAAACATTCTTCTCCAGCACCACACTCAAAGGCACTAATTCTTCTGTCATCCTTAGTCATTGTTTGGCTCTCTGATGCATAGCAGGTTTAAAAAGGCAGTTTGCAAAACTTGATGTACATGTCTAACCCTATTCTTAAAAACACACATTAGAAAGGATTGTACTAACAATACTGTTTATTTCTTGGTGGTGGGGATGTGAGAAGTTTTTATTCTCTTTTTTAAAATTTATTTATTTTTCATTTCAATGAACATCTACAGAGATTTTGGAATTTTATTCTCTATTTTATTTTACTCTATTTAAGTTTTTATTTTCTTTTCGGCTTCCCCCCACCCATATTAATTCACTCAACTCACTGACACTGAGTTGGAACTAACTCATAACTGATTCTCTAGAGGCTTTTTGGAGGCTCTAAGTTGCATATGGTACAGAACAGTGCAGGAGAGGAAGACCCCAGATGAATGGATTAGTACAATAACTGAGGCAATGGGGTAGGGATGTCGGAATCAGTGAGACTGGCTCAGAAGGGTTACTATGAGTTGCAGGCGACTCGACAGCACATAACAATAACAGCAACAAATTACATAGGAAGAGACTGCCAATCTTTCTCCTGTAAATCTTCTGGAGGATTCAAATTGCCATAGAAGTGACACCTATAAGCTAACAGGGCAGCGCTTTACTGTTGACACCAGAGCTCTGTATTTTCCATATTAATGGCAATAAACATGTTTTTGTTGTTATGTGTTATTGAGTACAACTCATAACAACCCTACAAAGGAGGGCTTTGAATCTTCCCTTACTCATGCTGCCTTTTTGTTTACATTTTTAAAATTAATTTAAATGAAAGTTTACAGAGACTTAGGGTTTCCAGTCATTCATTGTTGCATTTTTCTCCCTACCTCCCACTCCCTCCAATTCACCCCTCTCTTCAAAAAGAAAAAGAAAAACTCTTTGATTGTTATGCATTCCCTTCCCCCAAGTCCACTCCACTAAACAGCCTTCACTCTGGACTTCTGTAATGACAAGAATACCCATTCATATGTCCCTTTTAAATGGTTCTCTCCCTCATCTGTTTCAATGCAATACACATCATTCCTCCCATCCTTCTCTGTCTTCCCTCAAGCCCGCTGTCAGTCCCATTTTACAACAGTGGCCCTATGCAATATTTGTCCTTTTATGACTGAGATATTTCACTCAGCATAATTTCCTCCAGGGTCGTCCATTTTGCATAATATTTCACGAGTTCCTTGTTTTTCACTGCAGCATAGTATTTCATTGTGTGAATATACCAGAGCCTCTCTATTCATTCATTTTTTGATGGGCGCTTGGGTTGTATCCAGCTCTTTGCTATTGCGAACAAAGCCGCAATAAACATAGGTGTGCATATATCTGCTTGGGTGGCAGTGATGGTTTCTTTAAATTCCCAGTCATGAAATTGCTGGGTCAAATGGTATCTCTATTTACAACTTTTTGAGAAAGCGCCATACAGCCTTCCATTGTGGTTGCACCATTTTACATTCCCATCAACAGTGAATAAGGGTTCCAGTTTCTCTACAACCTCGCCAGCATTTGATGTTTGCTGTTCTGTTAAATTTTGTTATCCTTACTGGGGTGAGATGATATCTCATAGTTGTTGTGACTTGCATCTCTCTTAGAGCTAGGGATATTGAACATTTCTTCATGTGTTTGTGGTAAAATGACAAATGCATAGATCAATGGAATAGAATTGAGAATCCAGAAATCGGCCCATCTACCTATGGTCAACTGATGTTTGACAAGGAGATGAAATCAGTTAAGTGGGGAAACGACAGCCTTTTTAACAAATGGTGTTGGCAAAATTGGAAAACTATCTGCAGAAAACTCAAGCAAGATCCACACCTCCCTCCATACACAAAAACCAACTTAAAGTGGATTATGGACCTAGGACTAAAACCAAGGACTATAAACTTCATTAGTGAAAAGCTTGGAAGAACTCTAGAAGTTCTAATCCAAAACATAAACAGTCTTCTTCCATGCATCCTGGAAAATCTACAACCACAAGAGGATAAAATAGATGAATGGGACTTTTTAAGAATTAAACCCCTATGCACATCCAAAAGCTTCTCCAATAGGGTAAAAAGGGAAGTCACAGATTGGGAAAAAGTATTTGGTAATGACATGTTAGACAAGGGACTTATATCTAGAATTGATAAAACACTTGAGCACTACAAGATAAAGGTAAATAACCCAATTGAAAAATGGGCACAGGATATGAACAGACACTTCACCAAAGAAGACATCCTGATGGCAAACTCATACTGCTTTTAAGAATCAAACAAACAAAAAAAGAATCAAACAAAATTTTTTTTCAGGAATATAATGTAAAGTACTTTGAGAAGTGTGTCACACACATCCAAAAAAGCTATGTTAATTAAAATCTATATTGATGGTGTCACTGCCTGAATGAATGTAAGAAGAAATATGGTAATCCTCCAAATGTCTCCTTATAGTTGGAAGATTTTGGCACCCATGGGTAGTGCAGTTAACTCAGTTAACACAATGAGCAGCTAAACTCAAGGCTGGTGGTTAGAGTCCACTCAGAATCACCTTGGAAGAAAAGCTCAGTGATTTGCTTCTGAAAAACTCGGTCATTTAAAATCTTATAGAGTCCAGCTCTATTTATGTATCACAAGTCATAAGGAATTAATCAATTGTTATCAATTTGATAACAACTGGTTTAATTGTAAGATCTGTCTTCAAAGTGTGTGACTTATGAGGAGAATAAAATCTAAAGACAGCTGCAAGATTTATAGAAATGTTATTAAATAAGTGAATAGATGCAGGATTTTATTTGAATGAAATTATTAACAGCTATAATATATATTACTCTGTGACTTCCTTGTTCATTACTTTCTACTACTATGTTAATATTTTGCTAGAAACAAATGGCAAGTTTATCAACATCAAACTAAACCAAAATATAAAAGGGGAAAGAGGGGGAACACTAGAGTCAAGAGACTAATGTAGCGCTTGTGTAAGAAATCAAAAGTTTCTGAACTAAGGCAGTGGCAGAGGGGATGAAGACAAAGAGTAGAATGAGAAGATTAGGAAAAGGACCTTTAACAGACCTCACTCCTGTCAAAATGTCCATAATTAATGGTGAACAGTTGTTAGATTTGGGATTTAGGCTTTATTTTATTTTGATTTTGAGTTTGTGCTCTTCACAAAATTAACAGAATATAAAGAAGAAAAATATGAAATGCATCTCAGACTGCAGATAAGGACAAAGATGTGAATCTTAGGATCTTGAAAATGTCAAGCTCTCTTCTTTTAACATTTGACTATGTTATAACCTTGTTCTGTCATCCTCCTGGCTTTTGATTCCCCAAAGCACTTATAAAAGTCTCCTCTTTCAGCATTAGGTCATACTCTTTAAGCTTCCCCAGCTTTTTTCCACTGGCTACAAGGGACAACAGCAGGTCCTATGTCTTAGAAGAGGTGCCTGTAAGCCTACAGGTGAAAGAAGTCAAACTGGAACCTGCTTGAATTCTCCCTTCTTTTAAACCCCAAACTCACTGCCATTAATTCAGTTTTGACTCACAGCAACCCTCCATTGTGTTTCCAAGACTACAAATGTTTATAGGAGACTACCCATCTTTGTCCTGTGGATTTGAACTACTACCCTAGGGTCCCTTTCTGTCAACTTAATGTTGAACAAAAAGGAAAAGCTAAACATTTTCTGAATCAGAGTCTGTTCCTTAAGTCTGTCTCTTAGATATAAGTAGAACCTTGGGCACTTAGCCTGAGGACTCTAAATATTTTGAGAACAAATGTAATTAGATTGTGGTGCTCTTCTAACTCTAAATTGCCCTTGCATTTAGCTGTAGGGGTTAGGGCATGCATAATTTGATTCAATCTGTCAGGGTTCATGAGGTCATTAATAGTTCATGAGCTGAAAGCCCATCTGAGTCAGCTTCCAGGTCAGCTTGTGTAGAGAAGTCTGTAGCTTGGTGGTTAAAACAGAAACACCAATACCAAACAGGCTGCCTCCCAGGAGAGTGTGCATAGGCGCTCCACTTCCTCATGGTCTTGCTTGCATACATAGATTTACATGTAGTGGGAGAAGCAGAAGAAAAGAGTGGGAAGAATTCCCAGGCAGCTAGCAATAGCCAATGTCAGATAAGATTAAGAATGAGAAACCAAGGCCTGAAGGTTTAACAGCCTCATACAATTTCCTTCTTGGTAGGTTCCTGGGTTTCTTCTTTTTGTAACCCTTGATATGGTTATGAAAGCATTACATTAAAAAAAATATTTAACCGTGGTAGAGTTTCAAGTTATTCCAGTTAACAGGATATTATTGATTTTGTTTACTTCCTGCTACAACTTGAAGTAGAAAGGATATTAAGCTCTTTAAATTCTACAGTACATCAGGCAGCTGGAAGAGCTCTCTTAAACCCATGGATTCAGAAAACATAAGCTATGCTTATTAGACAACAAGTTACATGCAGCTAAAAGAGGGGGGGGGGAAACCCTGAAATATTTTCTTTTCAATAACAATCAATGACTTGAGTCAAATTTTAGCTAACACGAAGAGTGGTAACACAGATAAATAGCATTACATAGGCTTATCAATTACTTTTTCTTTTTTTTTTTACATGCATGGTTGGTGTTTTATTTTTCAAGGAGGAGTTCTAAAACATCACACTAAATCAGATCAAAAGGTAAAGTTTAAAACAGACTGTTTTATAAGGATGAATGATAACATATGTAATGACTGTTTGTTCACTCTGCAAAACCTTGATCTTAGGGTGTATGATACATCTAGTTGGCAATAGCACTCAGGTTTTCCAAATTAGCTTGTCTTCATTTTTCTCTGGTCTGCAAAGACTTCTTCTCATTAGCTGCCTTCTGCTTTTGTTGCATGATCTCTGAATCCCTCTGCCTTCTCTGAGAGGCAGTCAAACTGTCCTCTTTTTTTCCCTTGCTAATCTCCTGGGTTTTCTTCAAGTTTTTCTGGCGGGCAAGTTCTCTCTGATTTCCACGGGCCATCCCGACAACCGATCGGAGGCCGGAAGAGAGGAACTAAGAAAATCAACGGTTCTCTGCCGGCGTCATCCGGGCGGCGGTCTCCTAATATACCCAGCGCGCCGGCCCCTCGCAGGGCGACGCCTCTGTGGCGTCAGCGGCCCCGCCCACAGCCGCTGGCGTGGCCGTCTGACGACTGCGCATGCGCGGCTGGCTCGAGCGGGCCCGGCCTGGAGCGCCCAAGCCTCGGGTGTGGAGAATTGGCCACGCCCCTGCCCCAGCCACCTATCAGTTTTTCAGTCACTTCAAAATGGAAGAAAAGGAAAAGAACTCAAGTTTAATTGTTCTTTTTTTTTTTAGGAAATAAAGAAGTGCTAGAAACACTTTTCATTATATGAGGGATTGTGGCCAGGAAACAAAAATGTGGTAACGTGTTTGTAGATACCTGCCAGAATCCTCTACTTATACAGCACGCTTGGGGCTAATGTTTGGACTTCTCTCCCACTTTCTACAATTCTGGCAGATAAATGTAAAGAGACAAGGGACTCAGAACAAATACAAGGCACAAGAAGCAAATCTTTGTCAGATTCAGGTTGAATATTTTCTGGCCACTCCCCTCTTCTGCCGCAGATGAGCATTGGGTTCCTGGATTAGTAGTTTTTAAAGTTCCAACACATAGCATATATTCATTTTGGTATGATAGAACTAACACCACTAAGGCAACTAATCATAAACTTGTTCTATATCCCGACTAGCATGCTCTGGACTAAGTGTGAGGCATTGATCCAAACTATGATGTTTTATATTGCTTCCTATGCATCTGAAGTTGGACAATGAAGAAGGAATACTGCCTTTGAATTACAGTTTTGATGATGACCATTGAATATCCCCAAAGAACAAATAAGTCTGTCTTGGAAAAGTTGAAATCAGTGTGTTCCTTAGAGGCAATGAGGGTAAAACTTTGCCTTCTGTACTTTAAGGAAGTTGTCAAGAGGGGACAATCCTTGGGGAAAAAACATCATGCTGGGAAAGTTAGAAGGTCAGTGAAAGAGAGGTAGACCCTCAACAACATGAGTTGATGCAGTATGTGCCGCAATGAGCTAAAGTAAGTTAGAGATGAGGAGTTGGCACAGGAACAGGCAAGATTCCTATATGTTGATCATAGGATCACCAGGAGTCATAATTGGCTGGACGGCACCTAACACCAACAAAAACAATATTCTGGAAGCAGGTTCTCTAGAAAGTGGAATTCTTCTGGTGTATTTTGGTTCAATTTTTCATAAATTTAATTAGACCTTCATGAGAAGTTTCTTAGTGGCACATAGCGTTAACAACCCTGCTTGCTGAAACTGAGGAGGACCTGAATTGCTTGCTGCAGAGGGTCAAGGACTACAGCCTTCGGTAAGGATTGAGGCTCAATGTCAAGAAGACAAAGATTCTCACCACTGGACCAGTTGGCAGCATCAGGATGGATGGTGAAGAGATTGAGATTGCTAACAACTTCAGTCTGCTTGGCTCCGCAGTCAACACTCTTGGCATGAGTAGCCAAGAAATAAAAAAACACTGTGATGGGAAAGTCTGCTGTTAGGGACCTCTCCAGGGTAGTGAAGAACACTGGTGTCACTCTGGAGACTAAGGTGCATCTGATACAGGCCATGGTCTTTGCAATCCCTTGTGCATCAGAGTTGGACAATGACTAGGGAGGATAGAAGGAGAATTGATGCCTTTGAGCTGTGGTGCTGGAGAAGAGTATTGAATGTACCATGGACT